CACACTTCTCATACAGTGCAAACACTACTCACACAGCACACACACACTTCTCATACAGTGCAAACACTACTCACACAGCACACACACTACTCACACAGCACAACACTACTCACACAGCACACACACTACTCACACAGCACACACACTACTCACACAGTACACACACTACTAAACACAGCACATACACTAATTACACAGCACACACACTACTCACACAGCACACACACTACTCACACAGCACACACACTACTCACACAGCACACACACTACTCCCACACTACTCCCCACAGTACACACACTACTCACACAGTACACACACTACTCACACAGCACATACACTACTCACACACAGTACACACACTACTCACACAGTACACACACTACTCACACAGCACACACACTACTCACACAGTACACACACTACTCACACAGTACACATACTACTCACACAGCACACACACTACTCACACAGTACATACACTACTCACACAGCACATACACTACTCACACAGTACATACACTACTCACACAGTACACACACTACTCACACAGTACACACACTACTCACACAGCACACACACTACTCACACAGTACACACACTACTCACACAGCACATACACAGCTTGAATACTACTAAACAGCGCATTTTCTACTTACAAAGCACTGCTTACAGATCACGCGCACAGAACAAACACTCTACTCACACAACACACACATAGCCCGAACACACTACTCACAAAATACACATACTACTCACAGAGCGCGCGTGTAATACTCACTCAAGCACGCAAAATAAACAGTACCCACACACAGTACATACTACTAACACAGCACAAACATAATATTCACAGAGCACGCATATACTTCTCACAGAGAACGCGTACCGTACTCATATACCTTACATACATTTCTCACACAGCAGGCACATACTACTCACAGAGCAAAGGCACAGTATTTACACAGCATGCATACAAAGCTAACATACTACTCACATTACTCACACGGCACGCACATAGTCACATTCAGCTAGTTAAGGTGTACACTCTTATCTATTTAAGGTAATTTAAGCTTTATATTTTGACAAGCAGGAGCAGTATTTAATGAAACAACTTTGTTAGTAATTGAACACCTTGACATATCTTAGATCAATTAAAATATTTAATTCATGAAAGTCATCGAAGAATTCTATAGTAACTCACAGACATTCGGCTCAGTTGTTTCGTCAATTTTGAAAAAAAAAGAAAAATCTAGGAGAACAAAAATACCCGTTTACAATCATTTTGAGAGTCAATGTAATTTAAAGTTCAAGTTTATATCTAAATCATTACGAATGTCTGTTTGGTCACAAGTGTTGTTTTGTCCACGTATGAATAAATCCGTACATAAATAACAAAATTATGACAAGTTAACAAAATTTAACACTTTGACCTTGATGGCCGATGTCATTTATAGCTCAAGGTCAGTTTAACCTTTTTAAAAGCCTTGTATAAAATGTTGTTTTGTCCAAGTATGAAAATCATCCCTTGATTAATAACCAAGTTACAGCCAGTCATCAGTGAAAATTAAATAATTTGACCTTCAAGGTCAAGGTCATACACGAGTGAAGGTCAATTTGCAATTTGAGTTTGATATACATTGTGTTATAAGATGAAGTCAGTCATCATTATTCATTAATAACAAAGCCAGTTACAGAAACAAAAAAATGTACAAAAAAGACAAGAAAATTTAATTAACTTCACTTTGGTAGTCTATGTCATTTTAAGATCAAGGTCATTATTTTCGTACTGCAGAATATGAAACTAAATTACAACTTCATTCATAACGGTAAAATTACGTCATCTTTAGCATGGCATTGAACAGCACCAGACTCATCTGACACCCCACCCCCCATGACATATGAAATTTTCCGGTACAGAAAATCCAGTCTTATATACACGAATAAATTTTCCGTTCAGGAAACTACACACATGACACCTGCTTGATATAATCCGAACACCTCTGGCGACTTCAAGAAGTCGATCTCCGATCTTGACGGAGATTGCCGAGTTGTTACGATTGCTGCTTGATACTGCTTATTAGTCGTTTTCGAGTATGACTAGCAGGAAACGGAAAGCGAGCGTTAGTGTTCGACTACGAGCAACCTTGCTTAAATATTACAAATAACAATGGTATGCTAAAATAAGATTGATAAATTTCAAAATTGAAAATTTAACCATCAAAGTCATTTATTAAACCATCCATTGGTAAGTTAAGCACTTAATGTATTGCGGACAACAGGTGTCATCAGCTAAATTGCTACAGAAAACACAGGTGTGTTATTTTATCATTTGAAATGCGCAGTTTCATGCGGAGAGTGACGCACAATTTATAGGACATTGGAGTATGAATAATTTTAAACTTGTTGGAAATATAAAAATGTCACCAATAATATGCATCCTCGCCAAAATGCTCGTTATCTCATGACCCACATTGTTACTGATTAAGTATTGCGTTTTTGTTGATGGCCTAATATTCTTATATTAAGTGTTAATTTTAAGAAAGAAAAAAAGAAAGAAAGAAAAAAAGAAAGAAAGAAAGAAAAGAAAGAAAGAAAAGAAAGAAAGAAAGAAACCCACAATTAAATAGTTTATTTGATTCCGAGCCGTAGTTTAACATTTTTTTTCTTTGGGTAATTTTCAAATTTGATATTAATCATTTTGAAAAATGGATTGTGTTACTGTCATGAAAATTTTCACATTTTCACTCCAGACTTTTTTTATTTTATTTTTTATTATAATCTGATCTATACATACATATACAATTAAAACAGTATACATACAGTAAATTGTATAGCCATTCTTTTAAGAATTGTAACAGTTATAGATTATAAGAGGGACAACTCATTACTGAGATCTATGATATCTACTGTAGATTTACCTCCCTTATTTACATAATTATACACATTAACATGTCAATATGAACACATCATAATATCTCTAAGACATTTACAAGTAAAACAGCATATTCAAAGCATTGAATGTTATTAAAATAATTAAAATGTACTAATATTTATACCTACAACATAACTGTATGAGTAATTGCATTAGGGTTGTTAATATTAAAATGGAAGAATGAAATTTCATTACTGTACCAAACCCTAAATGGTTGTCTCCTTATAAATGTACTAAAATCATCAATTCATACTTATTATATTTTGTCTTTATACATTCTAAAAGTTTGATAACAACCACTGACCTCAACTTAAAATCTGCCATAAGAAATTTGTTAATAAAGTACTGAATTTTGTAAATGTGGCTCAGTTCAGTGTCGTGCTGAATTACCTCAATGGAGTCCCTTTAATTATAAAAGGTTAAGACAATTCATTTAAATGAATGAAATTATCACCAAGTAAAGGTTATACTTGAAGTATGAATAATTTTAAAAACTTATTAAATATCACCAAAGTAAAGGTTATACTTAAGTTATACTTAAGTAAGCTCATTACATTATTGTGTTTCGAATCCAAAGCCAGGGCCCTAAAGTATGAACTGATATGTAATAAGACCAATCAGTTTCCCGATTAGTCAACTGCGAGTTACACAAAATGGTTGTTACGCGCTAAATACATGTGATTTATCATAAACTCTGCTTTGCTGTCCCTTATTGTGGGTTTGGCCATGCCCCCTTTTTACATATATACATTTTGTATTTTTCTTTCGAACTGTATCATGATTTAATATGTCATTAAAGGGGAGTAACTATCACAGTTTATGATAACAACATTTAAAAAGATAATCTACGCCTTAATCTACAATGAAAATGTTTCAATATTCACTATGCACCTTGTTGCTATGGTAAATCAATCGAGCGCATGCATTATTTTACAATTATAATGTACTAAATTCTTATTACAATAATTTAGGTTAAATTCAGCAAAAATATTAAATTAAACATATTTATTCCAGATCGATTGCAAAAAAAGTTCTTGCAACTTATATTTATCACTTTCGAGTCCGCTACTTGGAACAAACCAGTACTGGTGTCATATGAAGAAAAAAGGTGGTGACCGGATTAAGGCTCAAACCCATGATCCTTGGGTTCAAACAGACACACTAACCACTAGGCCACCGCTCCCCTTAGACTAATATATAATAACATCTCGTTTTTTTTCACGTTTGCCGGAAATTTAAAATAAATTTCACATCGGTAAGAACAGAACGATTTCACAACATCCTCATCTGATCATATTTACAGTCCGGTAAATCGTAGGTTTTCTTTGTCCTCTCCCTCTATCCCCTCTTGGTTTAATTGGTCATAACTTATTTGGGGTTAAATCTTTTTACCCAAAATAAATACTTATAACAGTTTTCATTAGACTTGCTCAACACATACCATGCCTGCTATGCACATCCAACATATTACTCGGACCATTACCATATCACTCTGCAACTACAGAGGCCATTTGATTAAATGAAATAAAAAATAAAATGAAAAAATCAGGTTAGATGAATATGGTTATGGATTATGATTTATAATTTAGAAGTATAGTCAAACCTGCCTTATAGTCTATATGTCAACCAAGGTTTGCGAAAGCTATAGTTCAAAAACTGTTAAGCTAAGACACGTCATACTTGATAGGTTGATGCATCTCAGATAGTACCGGTAGATGACCCCTATTGATTTTAAATACAAAGGGTATATTTCATTTCTATGTACAATGCCAATAGTGTATACTGCTGGGATGGGGTTAAGTGTTTCACAAACATCACTTCTTTTGTTAACTTTTGCTTTTGCCTTGGGAGAACTTTTTTATTGTCACATGGTGAGAAAATGTGCAGCCTAACCTGGACTCAAACCCGGAACCTGCAGATATATTGTGGCTACTACTTCTGCTTTGTTTGCTGCTGCTGCTGCTGCTGCTGCTGCTGCTACTACTTTTAACAAATTGTAAGAGAATTATAAATTAAAATTGGTCAAAAGCTATATTTAATCTTCAAAGAATGTAAGAATAACCATATGTTTTTATAATAAATCTTTATTCATGATTTCTATGGACAACATATTATAAAATGGACGGAAAAGGAAATGAAACCAATGAAATAATTGAAACGAAAAATGAATCATTCGTATGGTAGATAAACGTCAAAACCATTTCTATAGTGTTATCTTTAACTATTTAACAACAATTTAATCAAAATACACAAAACTGTACCAATTTTACTTTAACACATTTGTCCTAGAACATATACATGTAGTTTTAAACTCCTCGCAGCGGTTACTTCCCTTCATCAGTACGCGCCGAATAATGTAGGGGAGATCGCTGCGTTGAGTGTAGGTTTTTACACTACTAAAATATATACACAACTCAAATATCATACTAGTGATCTAAGGATCTCTAGCCGTGTCGGTTCCAACCCGATTACAGGCAAACCGTTGTTTCCTTGAGCAAGAAACTTAACACTCATTGCTGGTTGGTTCCAGTAACGGATTCAAGAGTGTGTGTATTGCTTTCTACATAATTGAACTAAAATAAATTCTGTATAAATATATTTCTGTGCATTTTTTTGTCGTATGGATTGATTAAACAAATTTCAGCTTTATTGTTTAAAAGAGCTAGTCTATTCATTATTTATCAACTAGCTTAAAAAATTCAATGGATAGAACTTTTCATTTATACTTTAATTTATACAGTCACAATATTAACAAACTTGCAAACGCGTTGCTTACTGGGCTTTATGGTCTTTTTATTGAAAACATGAAAAAAAAACAAAACAAAAAACAAAAAACAACAAAAACATTCATATAACTTTCTGGGCTATTTTAAAAGTGGTAACTATGGTGGCATTTTGGAGTAATCGGAACTTTTCGTCATTTTCCGTCAAATATCGATACCTCGAAAACAGAAGTTAAAACAGCAATGGGAATCAGAAAATTACAATTAAACCTACTAGTAGCTGAAACCAAGTTAAAATCGTTTCACCCGTACACAGAGTTGTTCCAGGCTGCTCATCATTGCAGTATGACAATGCTCTATACTGTAGACAGATTGATTAAAAAGTGTCATCTTGATATATACAAAGTAGCACCAACATTGTTAACGTCATATGGTGACTGTCCAGCTTTACTATGAAGGAAGATCTCAGCTAGCTTCTCACATAAACACTTCCAATGTCCTTGGCGGGATTCGAACCCACAGCAGTGAGGTTTTAAATCATCGACGTAAATCACTCAGCTACGAACGCTATGCCACCCCATTCTCCCTATGGTATTTTAAAATCCATTTTCACATTCTGTCATCATTCTCAATCATTACGTCATATACGTCTCTTTTTTCCTTACGTTCAATAAATGTATGTATCTGTAACTTAATAAGCTGAGACATGACGAGGAAGAACTATCTTTATTCCTTTTGTGTCCGAGTTGATAATGAATAATTGGTGAGATATTCCGGATGAGTTTAAAAATAGAAAATGTATAATTTTGCTAATTACATGTAACACAGAAAGCACGAAGATGATGTCATTTGTGAAGTCATATGTATTCTCGTCAATATGAATAAAACAATAGTTTTTATCATGATTGTAATGATTGACGACCAAATCAGAAGTCCAGAAGATGTTTTGATAACCTTTGCTGAACGTATCTAGGTATGTCCGTGCGTTTGTAGCGCTGCGAAATTGTTGAAGAAACAGTTACAGTCAAACCACTGCAGAGCGACCCTCTTTACCACAACAATATTATGACTCCCCAAAAGTAAAGATTTTCACTATATTTCACCTCTGTAGAGCAACACCTCTTTACAACAACCGAAATGTTTGTCTCCCAAAAGGGTGTTGCTTAGCAGAGGTAATACTGTGCATTTCGTATTTTGCGATGTACCTTCAGATGAGTATTAAACATCTCAGTGCAAGGTGGGCGCAAATATTATCACGTTGTTTAAAGATCACAAAAATGTTGTCTTAGACCAATTCTTATTTTGCGAAAATGATGTTATGCTCAGTCCAAACAGATTGATTGACTTTCTCCTATTGAAGTTTATAATGTTGTTTTCATGTCTGTGATGTATGGTTGTTGTTCTCGTGTTGATTCGGATGTGTTCTGTAAAATAAATATTTAAGATTTAATAAATTGGCAACTTACGCCGAAAAAAGAATCGCAGGTAGTTTAGAACAATATTAGAATCTATATGTATCTAAATGGAATATCATTTATTATTGAAATAAAATGATAAAAATAAAAAAGTTTATTTTATTCTTCTCTTTATAAAGTTTTTAATAATCAGCGCTTTATTTTCAGTTTTGGACGTAATATCGCGCTAAAACTATAAATATTATATAATGAAATAAACAAAAATAAATGAATAGATAAATAATGAATGAATGAATAAATAAATGAATGAATGAATGAATGAATGAATGAATGAATGAATAAATGAATGAACGAACGAACGAACGAACGAACGAATAAATAAATAAATAAACCGCATTTTGTATCGCACAAAATTCTTATATAAATATAATAATCAATGATTTAGACAAAAGCTTATGTCATATAGCATTGAATATTTTAAGAAAACTATTAAGAAAAGTTATATACATGTATTAGATAAACTTACATCTATATATATGCTGTCATAAACATCATGTGGTTTGGATCTGATGCACGGTCGTTTTATGGAATACTGAAATGAAAGAAAAGAACACCAAATGATAACTCTGCATATTGACAGACGGAATACGAGTAAAATTGCAATGTTTTGTCTCTGTAACATGCTTATAAATCTGCATTAAGAATTTACTAAATCAAAAGACGGTACTCGTATATAAAAGACAAATATATATATCAAATACTGTTCAACTTGTCTTTGCTTTTACAAAAGTTGATGTAAATATACTGAAAATGTTAAATGTTGTAGTTTTATATTTAAACTGAAACTTCATTTAGTTAGCCTAGAAAGGATACTAAAAAACTAAAACAAAACAAAAACAAAATAAATAAAAGTAAAAAAAAGAAAACAACACACAAAACAAAACGCATGAATACTGCAAATAGCGCAAATAATAAAATGAAGTGGGTAAAGATGCACAAAAACAAAGTAGTATAAAGCAATAAAAAATCGTATTAAGCAACAAAATGAAAAAATAAGTAAAAACATAAGCATCAGAAATAAAAATCATTAATGCAATAGGAAAGACAAATGAAAAAGAAAAAAAAAGAATCAGTTAAAAAAATAGAAAGAATTAGCTAAAAAGATGACATAAACTAAAAGCAGTTCAAAAATGGTAAAAAAAGAAGCAGTCTAAAAAGAAGCAGTCATCAAGAAGCAGTAATAGCAGGGAAGCCTGTCTGGCAAATGATATGAATTACTTAAATATACCTTGAATGAGTAGACACCGAGGGCTCTCCACCTCTTCGCTATAAGTTATAAAATCAAGCCTTATTTGCAGCCCCGAATCATGACACCTGATTGGTCAATTAACTTTTGCAACATTTTTTTCTTCTTTTTTTAAAAAAAATTCGCCAGAAAAAAGTGTGTCTCGTTTGGAGTCTCTTGGTTTAGTTGAAAAATATTTATTTCATAACATACATATCTAAAGTAACATTATGCTAACTCAAGTGTTAAATTCGTGTACAGGTCGAAGCCAGAATAACTTTAGATTCTGCTATAACTGGTTTCAATTTTATAAAGTCAAGTTCATATATTACAATACGATAATCAATAATCCACGTGACTCACTGAAAATTCTATAAATATCCTTCAGAATCTATAGTTACATGTAACGTTCATATGGTAAAAATGTGAGACACTCATTTTTATTATATGCAGTTGTTATATTTCATCCTTTACATTTTTCAATTTTCAGTGATCAATAATTGGGCAAGGACTATAATAGTCAATCTTTCTACATATTGAACTTGGCAACGAAAAATAAAAATGAGCATAATGTCACTTTCGTTTACAAAAAGTGCCTCCTTAAAGGAACTCAACTGAGGTCAAAGAGCCTAAAAAACATAAGATTTGAATTCTTTACATCAACTGGGGGTACTTAAACAGAAGATATTCAAAAGCTTATTAGGAAATATATTTTGAAATAAAATTAAAAATCTATTGTACTGATATTTCTAGTTCGATCTGAGTGAAAAGAGTTGCAAGGCTTTTCCATTTTTAGCCATTTTTACACAATGAGAATGAATGTCGAAAAATTATTTCCAGTCCTCTTCATGATAAAAAACCTCAGTGGAGTCCCTTTAACCGCTTGTAAATGTAGCGGAAACAGACAAAGGGAATTTATAAGCTTGACAAAGAGAATAGAATTCTGAATATTAGTGAAAGAAAAAAAAGAGTCTACGGCAAGTGAGAAAGATTTGCGTTATATAATATACTATGTATAGATAATATATGTTTAGAAGTAGAACAACGCGACAGTTTTTGAACTTACGCCAGCGGAAGAATCTTTTGAGAAATAGTACAGTAATTGTTTTTGAACTTACGCCAGCGGAAGAATCTTTTGAGAAATAGTACAGTAGCTATTTTTGAGCTAACGCAAGCGGAGAATCTATCAAGAAATAGTACTGTTTTTTAACTTTCGCTAGCGGAAGAATCTATTGAAAAATAATACTGTTTTTGAATTAACGTCAACGAAAGAATCTATTGAGAAATATTTCTGTTTTTGAACTTACGTCAGCGGAAGAATCTATTGAGAAATATTTCTGTTTTTGAACTTACGTCAGCGGAAAGATCTATTGAGAAAAAGTACTGTTTTTTAACTTACGCTAGCGGAAGAATCTATTGAAAAATAGTACTGTTTTTGAATCAACATCAGCGAAAGAATCTATTGAGAAATATGTCTGCTTTTTGAACTTACGTCAGCGGAAGGATCTATTGAGGAATAATACTGTTCATTACGAAAGCTTGTAACTTGTTCGCCTTCGTCTGGCAGGTACACGGGAGGTCCTCCACGACCACTTCCGGTAAATGCTGGTTCATATGCCTGGGGTGATGATATAAAAAGTATATTTTTAAACAATATACATTTATGTAGAATTTAGCGAATAAGTCGAGTATCACAATTTGCTTTCAATGGATCAATCATGTTTTAAATACATAAGGCTTATTATTAATTTTTTCACAGGTATAATATTTCTCAAGTCAACAAGGAACAGTTTCTCCTTGTCATTTTTGTTGGGTATTATGACAGTGAAAATACTGAACATTTTAAATATTGCCAAACCTGGTAATATTAGACTTTATGCTTGCACGATTGATTAAGCGTTATCATCGAAAATATTAAGATAATATTGGGACTTTCATACAGGGATTTTCATATTTGTTTTGGACTTTCATATTGGGACTTTCTTTCCAAGCAAAACCTTAGAAGCCCGACCCCGATATGCTCTATTACAACGGGTTACAAATAAGGTCTTTTGCAAGCTTCTGTGATTTGGTTTTTTGCAACACTATCAATATGCATAGTGCTACAAAGCGGTATATAATTTTCGGTAAACAAGAGATTTTCTAGCTCTTTGATACCACTTTCAAGCTTCTAGAAATATTCACTTATCTTTCCTTTGGAAGTCAATTTCAAAAGATTAAAAAACTTTTACATTCTTTTCATGCATAGTCTCAAACAAGCTATGACGTGGTTGCAGGAAAATTAAGCAATTCTCATCATTACAAATTTAACATTTATAGCTAAATACCGTCATTGAGCCGTACCTGATTTGTGTGACCGGGTGATCTATGGTATCGTCCGTACAAGGGACTGGTTTTATCCATACTCGACCGGAAGCTGAGATCTTTTAATGCTACTTCATTGGTTGGCAAGATCCACTCGGATTCACCGCTTAAATGTATAATAAATGAGTTATAAGATTTTTTTTCTATCATTTTGATTTTAAGTTCACAACAGTAAAGACAATAAAGTGGTATAGGCAAACAAAGTTAAGTAGTCATTATTGATTTTTATTATGAAAACGTATTTTAGCTTATGAATGGTGATAGTGAAGTCATTCATGATAATGATGATGATGACTGACGATGATTACGATGATGATGAAGATACTGATGAGTATGATGATGATAATGATTACGATGATAATGCTGATAATGATGAATACGATGATGATAATGATTACGATGATGATGATGATGATAAGGATAATGATGATAGTGATGATTACGATGATGATGATGATGATGATGATTGTGGTGATGATGATGATGATGATGATGATGATGGGAATAAAAATAATAGGTGATATCTTCGAAGATATTTTTTCAAAAATTTAACAGTTTTGTTAAATTAAAAATTTCACTGACAGAATATACCTTAATCGGGAACTGCTTGTTGGACAAAAAAGAAGTCGAAACATGTTAATTTGCTAATGTCATGACAGAATAATGAATTTCTAATACAATGAGTGTAGAGCCTGGACATCTTGTACATCTATGAAGTCTGACATAACAGTCAACTCCCCTGTTCTTTAAATAATGAACTATTCCAAGTTTAGATTTTGTGATATTTTAAGCAAGTTATTTTTTTAGATACGAGTACAGTATAAATATAAATAAAGTTGTGGTCAAACAGCATTGGCTTAATATTCTTGGCTTAAAGTTCAGACGATTTTCCATCTTTGCATAAATAAATAGCCGTCTCTAATATTCCTGAAGTTATAAACTAATCAAAAGTTAGAACTTTGTGCGAAATGCACACGTCAATCAAAAACTTCTGTGACAGTGATTTTTCTGCATAATATTATATGTATCTTTTAAATGAAAATAAAAATCATAAGAACGTCATTTCGAACCGTTTTATATAATTAGTTTTGTTCTTAATAAAATGTCAACGATTTTAAATGTTTAGTGCGCCAACTTTATGACGTCAGGTCGCGAGGCCGCTATAACGCCAACTTTACCAATCTGTATTCAGTTAGATTCATTTTCACAAGTTATAAATTATAAATGTATATTTTTAAAATATAGAATGCAATCTTGACTGGGGGCAACATTTCATCCTTACCTGACATTGTGTTTTGAGTTGACCCCGCGTCTTACGCACATACATATTATAATCAGAAACAATATCAGAATAATTCCACCTCCAGCACCGAGGGATACAGCTAGTACAAACTCTTTTGTCGCTGTGGATTCCTCACAGTGCTCGCCGTGATACACGTGAAACGAGGTCGTCTTACATCTATAAAATAAAAATGTCAATCCGCCATTAAAATAGTTCTTTTATTATTTCTTTTGAAATAGTAAAACATTTAAGCTATATATTTAGTATGTAACATAGCAAAGAAAGGCATAACTTAAGCGACAAACAAGGATTCTTTGAGTTTAGGAGACGGATAAGGAACAATGGTTCTTAAAGAGACGAACAAGGAAAAAGGATTATTTAAAAGATGAACAAGGAACAAGGATTTTTTGAGGGTCGAACAAGGAACAAGGATTCTTTAAGAGACGAACGAGGATTCTTTAAGAGACGAATAAGGAAAAAGGATTCTTTAAGAGACGAGCGATGATTCTTTAAGAGACGAGTAAGGAACAAGGATTCTTTAAGAGACGAACGAGGATTCTTTAAGAGACAAACAAGGATTCTTTAAGATACGAACAAGGAACAAGGATTCTTTAAGATACGAACAAGGAACAAGGATTCTTTAAGAGACGAACGAGTATTCTTTAAGAGACAAACATAGAACAAGGATTCTTTAAGAGACGAACGGGGATTCTTTAAGGGATGAACACAGATTCTTTAAGAGACGAATAAGGATTCTTTAAGGGACGAGCAAGGATTCTTTAAGGGACGAACAAGGATTTTTTAAGGGACGAACAAGGATTTTTTTAAGAGACGGACAATGAACAAGGATTCTTTAATGGACGAACAAGGATTCTTTAAGGGACGAACGAGGTTTTTTTAAGAGACAAACAAAGATTCTTTAAGGGACGAACGAGGATTCTTTAAGAGACGAATAAGGAGCAAGGATTCTTTAAGAGACGAACAAGGATTCTTTAAGACACGAATAAGGAACAAGGATTCTTTAAGAGACGAACGAGGATTCTTTAAGAGACGAATAAGGTACAAGGATTCTTTAAGGGACGAACAAGGATTCTTTAAGAGACGAATAAAGAACAGGGATTCTTTTAGAGACGGACGAGGATTCTTTAAGAGAAGAACAAGGAACAAGTATTCTTTCAGATACGAACAAGGATTCTTTAAGAGACGAATAAGGAACAGGGATTCTTTAAGAGACGAACGAGGATTCTTTAAAAGACGAACAAGGAACAGGGATTCTTTAAGAGACGAACAAGGAACAAGGATTCTTTAAGAGACGAACGAGGATTCTTTAAGAGACGAAAAAGGAACAAGGATTCTTTAAGAGACGAACAAGGAACAAGGATTCTTTAAGAGACGAACAAGGAACAAGGATTCTTTAAGAGACGAACGAGGATTCTTTAAAAGACGAACAAGGAACAAGGATTCTTTAAGAGACGAACGAAGATTTTTTAAGAGACAAACAAGGATTCTTTAAGAGACGAATAAGGATTCTTTAAGAGACGAACGAACAAGGATTCTTTAAGAGACGAACAAGGATTCTTTAAGAGACGAACGAGGATTCTTATAGAGACGAACAAGGAACAAGGATTCTTTAAGATACGAACAAGGAACAAGGATTCTTTAAGAGACCAACGAGTATTCTTTAAGAGACAAACATAGAACAAGGATTCTTTAAGAGACGAACGAGGATTCTTTAAGAGACGAATAAGGAACAATGATTCTTTAAGAGACGAACAAGGATTCTTTAAGAGACGAACGAGGATTCTTTTAGAGACGAACAAGGAACAAGGATTCTTTAAGAGACGAACAAGGAACAAGGATTCTTTAAGAGACGAACGAGGATTCTTTAAGAGACGAACAAGGGACAAGGATTCTTTAAGAGACGAACAAGGATTCTTTAAGAGACGAATAAGGAACAAGGATTCTTTAAGAGACGAATTAGGAACAAGGATTCTTTTAGAGACGAACGAGGATTCTTAAAGAGACGAACAAGGATTCTTTTAGAGACGAACGTGGATTCTTTAAGAAACGAATAAAGATTCTCCAAGGGATTCTTTAAGAGACGAACGAAGATTCTTTAAGGGATGAACAAGGATACTTTAAGGGACGAACAAGGATTCTTTAAGGGACGAACAAGGATTTTTTAAGGGACGAACAAGGATTCTTTAAGGGATGAACAAGGATTCTTTAAAAGACGAACAAGGATTCTTTAAGGGACGAACAAGGTTTTTTTAAGGGACGAACAAGGATTCTTTTTTAAGGGACGAACAAGGATTCTTTAAGGGACGAACAAGGATTCTTTAAGAGACGGACAATGAACAAGGATTCTTTAATGGACGAACAAGGATTCTTTAAGGGACGAACGAGGATTTTTTAAGAGACAAACAAGGATTCTTTAAGGGACGAACACAGATTCTTTAAGAGACAAATAAGGATTCTTTAAAAGACGAATATGTACAGCATGTATTCTTAAAGAGACGAACAAGGAATCTTTACGAGACGACCAAGGACGAACAAGGATTCCTTAAGGTACGACCAAAGATTCTTTATGAGATGATCAATTCAATTTTATGAGACGAACAAGGAATATATAAGAGACGAACAAGGATTTTATAAGTTAGAGATGGAAAAAAGATTCTGTAAAATACGAAAAAGGTTTCTGTAAGATACGAAAAGGAATTCTGTATGAGACGAACACGTATTCTGTAAGAGACGAAAAAGAATTATGTATAAAGAATCAATAAGCGATTGTAATTACAAGTTATTCAACTGTAGCAAAATAACTTACTTGCATGCCTTGACGCTGTTTTTAATGTCGTAGAAGCAAACCCCATTATCACCACACAAACCTGGTTCTACGTCACAACTGTGCTTGCAAGTGCCCGCCGTGACGTTTTTATGGTTTTCGCACGTGTACAGATATGACAGAGGACACACATCTGATTGCAATAAGCAGGGATCACTCTCCAGTTTGGCTGTATAGGTTTCTAAAATATGTGTTAAATTAATTTAATATTTTGAAAAAAAAATTTAATTATACAAAAACATACAAGCTGGGAAATAATGCATATAAGGTCCCAGATATAAAGCAATTTGTCAAATACAAAAAGACAGGTAGGTTTGGCTAAATGATGTGTGTTTGTATCTGATTTTATTTATACTCGCCACGGGTTGCCTGTATGAGTATTAGTAATTTCAGTTTTGGTGGATAATGCAAGGTACAGATACAGTTAGATGCCCGAATTCCAGAGCTTCTCCTTAAGCACTCATACACGGAACCTCGATTTAAAGTCTCATCCTAAAAACTTTTAAGTATTTATTTTAGTTGGACAGCCCAGGAATGGAAGGGCCTAGTAACTGACTTTATATATCAGATGATAGTAATTGATGCCTATGTTAAAACGAGTGACCTATGTTGCCGTCATGCCATTTGTGTTCTTTATCAACAAAATGCGACACATTTACTGACACCGTTCTATCACAACAAACAATATATACCCTATTTATCCATTTTCAATTTAATTCAAACTTGTGCAATTCCATTATCAGTCCACATTTTTTGTTTATACTAATTCATTTTAGTTCGATTGAGTTGGAAGCTATAAGTTTATTGAAACACTTGAATCTGGTCCTGGAACCAAGCAGTACAAAGCATTGAGTATAACGGAAACAACAGCTTGCCTCTAATAGGGTGTCATCCCAAACGGTCAGCAAACCTAAGATCACCAGTGCGACGCGCTAGGCACTGGGCTATGCTCTCTCTCTCTTGTTGGCCCTATTGCGATATTTTACATCTAACATGAAAGTTGATTATATTTAAATACAACAATTTGGGTTGAATCGGTTGCCTACGTTGATAATAATAGGTATATACTTACCAACTTCTTCATCAAAAGCCTTCTTAAAGACCTCGTCATTCTGAATTTTGCCTAGCGTGGTGTTTATTTTTGCAGCATTGTGCTTTGTATTATTTTTCATAATTTCCAGGACTTGTGTAATATTTTTCTTATCCTTTTCAAGGTCCTTCTGCGCAATCTCTGATGTAACGGCTGCGATAATACTTCCCGGTCTACAATGAATAATGAATTATTGTATCTCTTATTATAATTGTTTTTCATATCAATATTCAACATGAAATTATCCCAGTAGTTTGTTCAATGGAAACCATGTAAGACAAGATATGCCTTCTAAGCAGCATGCCTCCATGGCCAGCTGCATGCTAATTTAGATTTAATGAAAATTTTAAAATGTATCTTAAAAGTTAAGTATTATGAAGTGAGTTAAGAAAGTAATTAAGAAAGTAATTTTCACATTGCAAATGGCATTTATAATCCATGTAGTAACCAATTAAGAGGTCCAAATATGCAAAAATAGCCATCACTGCGCAGTCACGCAGAAAAAAGTAAAGTCATAGATACTGCAAAATCAGTTATTTATTGCATATAACATGTAAATTATTATTTGAATCTTGATTCTTTAACCTTTCTTAAAATCTTAGTACATTTTTCTCAAGTTCGATTTCTTGAAATATTTTGGCTCCTGGAGGCATGCAGCTTTAAATGTTTATACTAACATTTCAGTTATATAAGAGGTATATCTATATTGTATATAAAATAATTTTATATTAATGCTATAGATATAATTATACATTGAATTAACATGGATGTAACATATTACTATTGTATATATCTGTTTTTAACTGAATATAACTTTGTATGCAAGAACAAAATGTATACTAGCATTTACAGACTTTGTGATTGATTTTTTACCAACATGCAATATAGTTATGTCCTCAGATATGCACCATGTCTACGCCACGTGACTTTTTGTGATTTGCGATGGGCAGAAAAACCAACACGAATATAATAAAAAGCATTTTTTTCCGGTATTGATTATAAAATAACTTAAATTCAGCTTTTATGTTTTGAATAATAAACAATAAAACTTTATATATTTATAATGTTCCAAATGTTAATAATAATAATATTAATAATAATAATGATAATGATAATGGTAATAATAATAATAAAATTAATAATAATAATAATAATGATAATGATAATGATAATGATAATAATAATAATAATAATAATAATAATAATAATAATAATAATAAAATTAATAATAATAATAAAAATAATAATAATAATAATAAAATTAATAATAATAATAATAATAATAATAATAATAATAATAATAATAATAATAAAAATAATGATAATAATAATAATAATGATAAAAATAATAATGATGATGATGATGATGATGAACTGATGATATATTATTTTTCAAAAAGAACACAGTTATGAATAATCTAGCAAATATTACTATTATTACCTGGGTTCGCTGTAAAACAGAAAAAGACAAAGCAATTATGGTAAGTTAGAGTGAGAGAATCTAGATATAAGTAATTTGTGAATCCTCAATACATAGTAAAATAAAACCCCTATTTTTTAGCAAGTGTTTGGCTAAAAAGATAACGAATGTTTTGACCGTGTATGCCTATCTGTAGAAACTGCAGGTTTAAATGCATTAAAAAGGCGCCTTAGCAAAACAATACGCCAAATCGGTACTTCTCAGGGTTTTTGTTTTGGTTACTTATCTTTCGTATAAAAATCCATTTCGTGATACTTTTAACGCGCTATTACGGTGCCATTAGCCGATTATGTTTTAATAATGGAACTGTAAGTGCAGTCAGTTATTATTACTGGCGCCAAGAATCACGTATATTAAAGAACGTGCAACAAAGGCGCGTGTTCAAGTGGTCATATCCGTTAATGCATGTTATGTTTACCTGCGTGCGCAGTTTTTATGAAGAAAAAAAAACAAACAACAAAAAAAACCTTGAAATGTCACAGTAAAACAGAGATTTGCTAAGTAGAAGAAGCACAAACACACATATTTAAAAGAGACATTGATGAGAAAAAGGAACCAAAGTCTTTTAACTTTTTAAAGGCACATTCTGCCTCAGAAACAAATAAATTTTACTTCTTAAGAAAGGACAAACATGCTTTTAGAGAATGTTAGATGCTTGTTACCTAAAAAAATAACGATGGATATGAGTCAACTATGAACGGCATTCGATATAGTATCGACTTTTGTTCTTCTATGAAAATTGACGCACATAATTTTTAAGAAATACAGCGTTTTCATTCAATGGCAAATAAAGTTGGACTATACATATTGTCAAAAAAGAAACAGATGGTCCAGATAATCGGCAAATGAATAACTTTTTTGGATACTACAAAAGTACATCAAAATTAAGAGAAAATTTAACAAAAATGAATGCATTTCTGAGGTATAATGTGCCTTTAAGTAAACGGAAAGTAATTATTGAGAACTGGAAAGTATTGTCTTTAAGAAGAGTTTTTATAGTAAAAGTAAATAAGGTTTCAAAAGTTTAATGCTAAATAGTAAGAGTATTATTCAAAATAACACTAAGAATATATGTAAACAAAAGAAGAAATAGAGAGACATTCTTTCAATGGAAGGGTACTACGTCATCGCGCACCTGCAAGAACTGTTTCTGTTCTTAAGCCAAACTTTGGTGTGCTACATTACTTTTTGATATTGTATCTAATTTTTCTTCAAGTTACAAAAAAGTAATCAATAAATAAAAAAATAAAAAAAAATAAAAAAAAAATGTAAAAGAAAAGAGAAAGAAAAGATATTTAGCAGGTGCGTGATGACGTTGTATCCCACAAAGAAAGAGGATTTATCGACATCATGGGAATTAGAAGGTCATATTTATAGAGATACATGTATTTCACTTACCTAAATGTAAACCGTAATGTGACCCCAGGTGTACCGACGAAAATGTTTTCAATAAGCTATAAAAAAAGAGCAACATCTTCGATTTTATTATATGTTAAGTCTTAAAACGTTAATCTGACTTCATAGAACACGTTTAATAAAAGCGAAATGTAAATGTGTAAGTTGATGAATCTATTTTTATCATTTCATCTGACTTCTAAGTTTTAATTCAGCTTTCAATAACATATAAAACAATAAACAACTTTAACCAGATACATGTCTATCTTTTCATCTGAATTCTTTTCAACATATTTATCAATTTACAATTAAATATATATATATAAATAAATGTAATGTAAAATGAGTAAGAAAGACAAAAAAATAAACAAAAAAAAAAAAACAAACATAAAAAAAAACAAAAACAAAAAACCAACAAACAATCATTACCGTTCTATTCAAAGACTTTTTCAAATTTTCCTTCTTTATCGCTCTCTAATTCCGAAAAGCGTCCCTCTATCTTTAGTTCAAAGTTGAAAACATAGACCGCCTTATCTGTTATAGAAAATACATAGTGATTGATACACCAGGTACAATCGATTAATAACTCAATCAATCAATCAATCAATCAATCAATCAATCAATCAATCAATCAATCAATCAATCAATTAATTAATAGATTAATAGTTTCATTATTTCTGTTTCGCGAAGCTGTGCTAACTTGTTTCAAACGGAAGATATCTGCAGCAATATTAAAATTCCAACAAATATGAAAGACCTAAATATAAATTTGGTCGCATTTGTCTCTGGTATAATCAAGTGATGTATGTGTCTATTACATAAAACATCTGATTAAATAGAGCAGATTAAGCGAGTGGACATTGTAAGGCCAAGAAAACCGTTACAAACCCCATTTCTTGCATATCTGGACGCCAACATTGACATTAGCAAAAATGTTATACAAGCGTGTTATCATTTTAACATTTTTTAAAAACTTCAAACGCAAAACTAAATTTTTCGAATATTAATCAGGAATTTACAGATAATTATGAGTAACAAACATCGACGTATGTCTTTTTTTCTGATTGTTTTAACGCTGCAAACGCACAAATTTTCACTGTGAAATATACCAAAGAAAATAACTTATCTCTCACGTCAATAGCACCGGCTTTGGTAGTTTCAGTTTATAGTGCAGATGTAATTGGTTCCGAGGTAAAAGAGATTATAGTACATAGACAACATATAAGGCAATTTTCCGTTTTTGTAGCAAATCATTTTAATGTCCTTAATTAAAATACATAACAATGGCAAAACTTACCTAAATCTGGCTTCGAAGTTGGGAAAGCAGTTGGGACAATAGTCGTTGGACTTACTGACGTGACTGCTGAAGTAGAGGTTGACTTTTTCGTTGAGATGACACTAGCATTTTCTGTTGATGTGTTGTCAGTTGGTGGAACTGTTGTTATAATTGTGGCATTTTCTGTTGAAGTGTTGTCAGTGGATGGAACTGTTGTTACAATTGTTGCATTTTCTGTTGAAGTGTTGTCAGTGGGTGGAACTGTTGTTACAGTTGTTGCATTTTCTGTTGAAGTGTTGTCAGTGGGTGAAACTGTTGTTGCAATTGTTGCATTTTCTGTTGAAGTATTGTAAATGGGCGTCACTGTTGTTGAAATTGCTGCATTTTCTGTTGAAGAACTGTCAGTGGTCATTACTGTTGTTGACATGGTTGCATTTCCTGTTGAAGTATTGTAAGTGGGTGCCACTGTTGTTTCAATTGTTGCTTTTTCTGTTGAAGTGTTGTAAATGGGCGTCACTGTTGTTGAAATTGCTGCATTTTCTGTTGAAGTATTGTAAGTGGGCGTTACTGTTGTTGAAATTGTTGCATTTTCTGTTGAAGTATTGTAAATGGGCGCCACTGGTTGTTTCAATTGTTGCATTTTCTGTTGAAGTATTGTAAATGGGCGTAACTGTTGTTGAAATTGCTGCATTTTCTGTTGAATAACTGTCAGTGGTCGTTACTGTTGTTGACATGGTTGTATTTTCTGTTGAAGTATTGTAAATGGGCGCCACTGTTGTTTCAATTGTTGCATTTTCTGTTGAAGTATTGTAAGTGGGCGCCATTGTTGTTGAAATTGCTGCATTTTCTGTTGAAGTATTGTAAATGGGCGCCACTGTCGTTTCAATTGTTACATTTTCTGTTAAAGTATTGTAAGTGGGCGCCACTGTTGTTTCAATTGTTGCCTGTTCTGTTGAAGTATTGTAAGTGGGCGTCACTGTTGTTGCAATTGTTGCATTTTCTGTTGAAGAACTGTCAGTGGTCATTACCGTTGTTGACATGGTTGCATTTTCTGTTGAAGTATTGTAAGTGGGCGCCACTGTTGTTTCAATTGTTGCATTTTCTGTTGAAGTATTGTAAGTGGGCGTAACTGTTGTAGAACTTGTTGCATTTTCTGATGAAGAACTGTCAGTGGTCATCACTGTTGTTGACATGGTTTCATTTTCTGTTGAAGTATTGTAAGTGGGCGCCACTGTTGTTTCAATTGTTGCATTTTCTGTTGAAGTATTGTAAGTGGACGTAACTGTTGTAGAACTTGTTGCATTTTCTGTTGAAGAACTTTCAGTGGTCATTACTGTTGTTGACATGGTTGCATTTTCTGTTGAAGTATTGTAAGTGGGCGCCACTGTTGTTTCAATGGTTGCTTTTTCTGTTGAAGTGTAGTAAGTGGGCGTAACTGTTGTAGAACTTGTTGCATTTTCTGTTGCAGAACTGTCAGTGGTCATTACTGTTGTTGACATGGTTGCATTTTCTGTTGAAGTATTGTAAGTGGGCGCCACTGTTGTTTCAATTGTTGCATTTTCTGTTGAAGAACTGTCAGTGGTCATTACCGTTGTTGACATGGTTGCATTTTCTGTTGAAGTATTGTAAGTGGGCGCCACTGTTGTTTCAATTGTTGCATTTTCTATTGAAGTATTGTCAGTTGTCACAACTGTTGTTGCAATTGTTGCATTTTCTGTTGAAGTGTTGTCAGTTGTCGAAACTGTTGTTGCAATTGTTGCATTTTCTGTTGAAGTATTGTTAGTGGGCGTAACTGTTGTAGAACTTGTTGCATTTTCTGTTGAAGAACTGTCAGTGGTCATTACTGTTGTTGACATGATTGCATTTTCTGTTGAAGTATTGTAAGTGGGCGCCACTGTTGTTTCAATTGTTGCATTTTCTGTTGAAGTATTGTAAGTGGGCGTAACTGTTGTAGAACTTGTTGCATTTTCTGTTGAAGAACTGTCAGTGGTCATTACTGTTGTTGACATGGTTGCATTTTCTGTTGAAGTATTGTAAGTAGGCGCCACTGTTGTTTCAATTGTTGCATTTTCTGTTGAAGTATTGTAAGTGGGCGTTACTGTTGTTGAAATTGTTGCATTTTCTGTTGAAGAACTCTCAGTGGTCATTACCGTTGTTGACATGGTTGCATTTTCTGTTGAAGTATTGTAAGTGGGCGCCACTGTTGTTTCAATGGTTGCACTTTCTGTTGAAGTATTGTAAGTGGGCGTAACTTTTGTAGAACTTGTTGCATTTTCTGTTAAAGAACTGTCAGTGGTCATTACTGTTGTTGACATGGTTGCATTTTCTGTTGAAGTATTGTAAGTGGTCGTAACTGTTGTTTCAATTGTTGCATTTTCTGTTGAAATATTGTCAGTGGGCGTCACTGTTGTTGAAATTGTTGCATTTTTTGTTGAAATATTGTACGTGGGCGTCACTGTTGCTTTAATTGTTGCATTTGCTGTTAAAGTACTGTCAGTGGCCATAACTGTTGTTGAAATTGACGCATATTCTGTTAAAGTATTGTAAGTGGACGTAACTGTTGTTGCAAGTGTTGCATTTGCTTTTGAAGTGATGTCAATGGTCGTAAATGTAGCTGCAATTGTTGCATTTTCTGTTGTAGTTTTGTCGATGGGCGTAACTGTTGTTGCAATTATTGTATTTTCTGTTGAAGTGTTGTCAGTGGTCGTAACTGTTGTTGAAATTGATGCATTTTCTATTGAAGTATTGTCAGTTGACGTATCTGTTGTTGAAATTGTTGCATTTTCTGTTGAAATGTTGTGGGTGGTTGTCACTGTTGTTGCAATTGTTGCATTTTCTATTGAAGTATTGTCAGTTGTCACAACTGTTGTTGCAATTGTTGCATTTTCTGTTGAAGTGTTGTCAGTTGTCGAAACTGTTGTTGCAATTGTTGCATTTTCTGTTGAAGTGTTGTAAGTGGTAGTAAATGTTGCTGCATTTGTTGCATTTTCTATTGAAGTTTTGTCAGTGGTTGTTACTGTTGTTGAAATTGTTGCATTTTCTGTTGGTGTCTTGTCCGTGGTCGAAACTGTTGTTGCAATTGTTGAATTTTCAGTTGAATTGCCTGTTGAGCTATTGCCAATTTGCACTGTTGTTGTTGTAACTGTTTGATTTTCCATTGAAGTGTTGTCCGTTGAATTTGTTAATGTTGTTGCAATTGTTGTGTTGTCAGCGTTAGTTTGCGCTATTGTTGAAGTTGATGATAGAACGCAAGTGACCACCATGGCGATTGATAGAAGTGAAAGTTCCATTCCTGGAATGATAATTGTTTACTTTTTGATTAAATCTTTACCATTAATTTTGTCATGAAATAAAATCAATATCGATTTTATAAAAAAAACAAATGAAACTTGAATTTTGTTTTCCAATAAGACATAATCATTATGAGAACGAACAACGATTGATTTACACGTAAGCACATGAATATTGAAGAGAAATCTAGTTGTAAAAATTGTCAGTTATTTACGAAAGTTTAAACAAGTCTGCTTTCTTTTGTTTACGCTAGAATACAGAACTTCAAAATCATTATTTAGTTGATGTGATATTTAGATTGAGAGAAAATTTGTTATAAAATATAAAATATTGTCACTTATATAAGTTGCATAAATAAAATAAAAATAAATTAATTAAATATTAGGTAATTGATAATAGAACGAGTGTCATATGAGGATAGATAGGCAATTTGTAAGCCTCTTCAACATTACCACTACAGCTGTCATATTTTAATGGTTTTAATGATTGACCCTCCCCTCCTGGAACGGCCCCCTTCCTCCACAACATCTCCCCCACCAAAATACAAACACAAACACCCTGATTGTTGTTATTTTTGCTTTTATACGTTTCAATTGTGTAAACGCTGTACATAATCATACTGAAAATAACTCCTTTTCCAAACGCTGAGCTTATTTCTATGCAAAGGGGAACATTTTTCGGCATGAAAGTCCAAAATTTATTTGATAGCCTCGTCGTGTATTGCTCTTTGACAATGGCGCATGATGTTACAGTATCGTGTGTATGGGGTTGTGTATAGAATTTTGTAAAAGATTAAAGGTCTCGTGTTCACATAGAACAATTCAAATGAACCTGGTTTTAGTTTCTTTGCTTTATGAAACTTGAATTTCAGATTTAGCCTTTTTATCGATAACATGGACGATTAACATTACGAATACAAAAATAATCGGATCAAAATAAGGATCAACTTAAGAATCAAGATCTGTATTTGAATCAATCGAAAAATTACCGTAATTTATCCTTAAAATAATTTCTTAACCATCCTTTTTTAAGTCAACTTTTTATCAGTAATGAATATTTAATCTATGAGGATGAAATATGCAGACTATTTGAGCTTCTAATTTTGATCCTGATCTTTATCCTTACCCTTAAAACTTAGTGAACACGGGTCCAGGTGATTAGTATTGTGTTAAAATGATTGACTGATACTCATGTAATTTTCAACTGAACTACAGCAATGAGAAAGAATAACTGATTACCTCCCCCCCCCCCCCGCTTCTCCTTGGATATTTATATAATTGAAGAATTTAGCTCTTTGTTGATACTGAGTAACTGATAAGCCCCCTTTGACATCACTTGACATAACAATTAACTGCGGGTCTCCATTTGAATAACCGACAGATAAGTGCTAAGGCGTTGCTCACTAGGAGTATAAATAACAATAGGGCGTTCTATTGAACTCAAAGGACTGATAAAAATTCGAATCTACCTGATAAATTATCAATGATCGGAGTACCCCAAGCGATTGATCAATTATCATCTACCTTAAACATAAGGATATCCAAACGTTTGCAGACACTGATCACAGTTACGCAAGAGATTGACAGATCAGTTCAAGTTTCTCCATTACCTTGATGATTTTATTTCACCATAAAATACGAATAGGTATGAATGGCGTCTTACGAGTCTTACTATGAAGATTAATTCTAACTTCTTAAACAGTTTATTGTATCCACTTTACTGAGGTCAGCTTATATAAGTATGAGTCCATATATACAGTCAAATCTTTTTTTTGTAAAGGTCATTTATTTGTAACGTGTTTTTTTTTGTACTTATATTTGCCTGTGAATAACGGCCACCTAGAGGAAAGGTTAAACATCGATTTTATAAACTAGTGGTCTTTATTTTGGGATTACTCAGTTCTATTAAGGTGGTCTTAAGAAGTAGATTTTTTTTTAAATGATTGTTATTATATTGTTATCTAATTGATCCGCCGGTAACGATGTTTCTCTATTTTCCAGGGTGTCTTTCTTGGGAGTTTGACTGTGTATTAGTTGCTTTAAAGAAAAGTTTTAACCGGATATCATATTTATTTGTAGATGACGCTGTTAACCCTTAAGCTGCTGGTACCGAAAGGTTTGGCTTGGACCATAGCATAGTTGGAGATCAGCCTACAAGTCCGTGCAGTCTGACCATTTTCCATCTTATTGTGATCTCATATTTCTTGCATTTTTTTGTATTCAAACCCCTTACATTTTAAATGGACTGTGCCAAATTCAAAGCAGGACAAACCCATTCCACAAATTTAGTAGGGTAAAAGTATATCGTTATGGACCTATGACTAATTTGCTACTATATCAAGTAAACGTCTAGCGAACGATAAGGAAATTTTGTGTAATGCGTATGTTATTTTTTGCAAGCTTTCAGTTCTTTTTCTTCCATACCTTTTTTATCTGTAGACAGAAAGCGGTATCGGTTTTTAGATAAACCTTTTCTTTTCTTCAGTTGTGATATCTTCATTATGGTTCTTACCATGGAAAGTACTTGATCCCGATAAGAAGAAAAAATCAACCTTATGCGATTAAGGTCCATTGAGCTATACTTTAAGGTCTTAATGTTTACTTACTTAATTTATTTTATCTTCAACGAATATTTGCATTGTAATATTGATTATTCTCAAATAAAAATACCATTAAAAGTTGTTGAATTTTAAAATCACCCTTTTCTTTTCCTCTGGGATGGCGCGAACTTCCTTAAAGCTGTGTTCCTCGGGATAAGCCAACATATTTAAAAATAAATAAAAGCGCACTAAGATTTTTAGAAAAAAGTAAATAGTTTCAAGTATTAATTTACATGTTTTGTGCGATAAAGGCCAGATTTCGCAGTATTCACCATATTTCGAGTACGTTACTGACATCTTTTGACCTCTTTTGGTAATTTACGTGGATTTAAAGTGCCATTTGCCATGTGTTAATTGTTCACTTCACGAAATTTTGCTTTTATGAAATTTTGTTTTTTAAAAATATTTATGAAAATATGCATGAATCTGAAGGCATGCTCCTCTAAATATACCTGCATATTATACTACTTTATAAGAATGATGATATATTATTTGACCCAGTATATAACGGCTTGAAGGTTAAGTAACAATAAAGAGTCGCCAGGCGAAGGTTATATTGCAAACAATAGTTTAATATATACATGGCAATTCTAACTGACAAACTTTTCAATAGATTTAGAAACGAATTAATGATAATGCAAACTATATTTCTTACATAAAATAAATAAATAGATAAATAAATAAATTATTTTTATTAAAAATAAATAAAATAGATGAATAAATAAACAGTTTAATAAAAGGCACCTGTTACTTCCGATTTTTGTACTATTTCTTGCGAGTCTCTTTTATTCAGCTTCTACTATTTCTTGCGCGAGGACAGTAAGTATACGCGTTTACCCACCGTGTTTTATAGGCGGTATTGTGCCAGTAGCTATCCAACCCGCAGGGAACAATACCTGACTGATAATACATATTGGTATTCATGTTTGTTCAGCATTGAAACAATTTAACCCATCCGAATTCTTTTAAAATCATAATAAAAAATCAAAGAACGAAATATTCTCCACGCCAGTTTTCTAAATATATTTATTTTTATGAATATTTTTTAGCTTAAGTGTTCTGTGACAAAACAGTATTTGGTTTGACAGAACCGAATAGAACTTGGAATTATTTAATAATGAATTTTAGCGAAAATCATAGATTTTTTTTTCAGGAAATCTATTTCTTCCTTATTTATACGAAACGGTTTTATGAAAATATTTTCCTATATTTTGTCCGTAGATTTTAAAAACAAAAACAACAATTACAACAAAATAAAAAAATAGATAAATAAATAAATAAATAAATGAGTGAATAAATAAATAAATAAATAAATAAATTATCTTTGTTTCCATCAAAATACCTGGAGGTGTTATTAAACGTGTTTTGGAGTCAATTAAATTTATTTAAAAGTTCGATTTTAACTTTTCTATCAATTTCTATGACATTCACACGTTCATTTGATATGATATTGGTACATGCATATCTTTAATGTTTTGCTAATTTTATTTTAAAATAACATGTTTTGGTGTAAAAAGGTCCCAGATTGTTTGTTTCATTCATATTTTTTACAGTTTTTTTTTTTTACAAAGAATGATAACGTGGGACTGTACACTAGCGCTGACAGGTTCCCGGGTTGTGCGGACTATATATGCTCTTAAAATTATTTCTTTTTTTTTAACATATTAACATAACTATTTAAGAATAACGTGGAAAGTTATTTTAACAGTTATTATTCCAATGCTCAAAAAAAGGAACTTACAACGGTCAAATGATGTTACTATTCAGAAAGACTTTACACAATTAATAACCATAATTACACATTTTATACAGAAAAAAATGAAAATAATAATTATATATACCTTATAAAGTGTGAAGTTATCCTTTATGTATCGAAAAAAATAATCCTTTTATTTTAAAATGTCTAAAACCCAAACTGACCAAACAATTTTAATCTAATAAAAATTATTCGAAACGATCGATTCTTTTATGGCTTAACACTATTAGGGTTCGGCAGGATTTTAACGACTTTGACAACGCCCTTGTCGTTATCATCTACTGGTCGAGATTACGTACTCTTATCGTGCGCTTCCGTACGTTCGATTTAGATTTCGTAAACCTAGGTTAAGTATTTATATTTACTGAAAATTTGACTAATATTTGTTTATTGAAATAGTTGAGGTCGTGAGTAATAAAAGTTGCGTAATTTGTGTTATATTTTTATCTACCACTCCAGGTCCGTACGTTACTTATTTTGGAATTATTAAATTGGAATACATTTGATGACGATTGGAAAAATAGTTTAAAAGACGTCCGTAATACCTATTTTAAGTAACATTGTAACTAAACAGCATCGTTTGTACATCCTGATGGTTTTTTGAACGCAATTTTAATACTACAGTATTATAAGTTTGCGGCGAATATAATGTAATATTTATATTAAATCATATAATTTTTCTTTTGCATGAGATGTTATGTCGTTTACATTACCAATTATGATTTGGTGCCAAAATGACCACTGTTTTATGAGAATCTTTATATTTGATATAAATGATATGGAGGCTTAACTTTGCTTAAAGTTTCTTCAAATTCCCTGTAAACAGCTTCTGTTCAAATTTGCTTGCTGAATCATATACTTGTAGCATATACCAGTCTGCTTCTTTGAACCAAACGGTACATGAAACATATAAGGAATCATGGCCCGATCATAACTCGAACCCACAATTCTTAAATTGAAAGCCAGACTTCTTGACCTGAATGCCATAACGCCCAGTTTACACAATAAATTAAAAAAATATATTGATGATAAAATAATATTACGTCGTTATATTTGTTTATTATATGTTTTAAAGGGCGTTTTTTTACGACCAAAGTACGCAGACTGGGTTGAGTCTCAATTTCAATTATTTCACTTATTTATCCTAACATCATTAAAGACTTGATTTACAATAGATGTTAAAATTTATCATCAAACAGTGCTACTTAATACCGTATCTAAACAAATAAGGGAAAGACTATGTAACTAACCAATCTAATAAACGCTCTTAAATCTTGTGGCCGAACAGCTAGTCAGTAAACATTTAACGAATCAAAGACGAAGAAATAGGTCCGTTCCATGTTAAGGACCGACTGTGAGGTCACTTTATAATGCTATGACGTCATAAATACCGTGTGCTTTTTCTTAATATATTATTCCGCACTTTACTAGAACATAATGGTAAAAGTTCAACAAGGAAGAAAATCATATTGTTTAAATAACAAAATTTCTACTGAAAGTACTGAACATTTTTTTGATATTTCGCGTGTTGTAAAACAATCAACGTGCCCACATTAAAGTGTTGAAATGACAAATTTGTAATTTGAATAAATACCCTAAAATCATCCCTGAACCAAGTCTAGTACATTTTATGATAATTTATATGGCAATAAAACCCTCCTTTGTGTTTTATTTCCGCGGCTTAGTACAAATATGTCGTTAACTCACAAGTTATTTTTTATTTACACCTTACAAGTTATTTACTACTATCAAACAAGGATAGTCATTTTTATCAGGCTATGATATCATTGAAATAACTGTTTAAAAATATCTATATCCTGAACCTGGGATATATTCTCGAACAACACTGTGCACATGTATGATTATTAAGTGACTTATGTATATTTTTATGCTGGATGTATTATGCAAATTTCTTATATTTAGTGATATATGCACATATATGATTTAGTTATGTGCTTTTCACATTTCTTTATTTTTTACTTATTGTCTTTAACTTATTTTTGTGCATTGCGTATGTTATGCACAAGTACCTATACTGAGTATTGTTCTCATATTTCTTCTATTAAGTGACATATCTTATATATTTAGGGACTTATACATATTTCTAACATCGTTTGACTTATACATATTTCTTATAACGAGTGACTTATGCATATTTATGCACGTTTTTATTGCCTTTAAAATATTTTTTTGTGCATTGATTTTATCAGACATATGTATCTATAGTGACTTTGATATTATACATTCATATTGCATTTCCAGGGCGGAAATTAAGAAATTGAAATGAGTTTAACCTTTTTTTGTATGGAAATTATATATTTTTTTCTTCCTGAACAAAAGACAAACAAACAAATTCCTCGTACTGTGACACGATGTCAACACCTTGTGACGTAAAGGAAATTATTTCAATGTCAAGAAGGAAATTATTTCGTTTCTTAAATTTTTTTTTCAAAAAAAAAAAAATATTGGTAATGGCTGTTTGTTGATTCGTCCCATGAAAATATAGACTTTACGATTTTGAAGATTTTCTTCTTTTGAGAAAAAGATTTTTTCTGTAAAAGTAAGCTGAATATAGGTAGATTTTGATTGTTAAATTGCGAGTAATTAATTTTTGACGAAAATAAAATGATAAACTTTCATTTTTGAAGGTAAAATAGTGCGAACTTTTCTTTTTCAGGGAAATATATGCGAACAATTCTTTTTTAAATAAGAGGAAAAAATGCGACTAAATCATTTTAGGGAATTCTTGAAAAATAATTCTTACTGTTAGGGAAAATGCGAATATTTTTATTGAAAAATAATGCAAATAACTCATTCTTTATAATAGGGGAAAAGGAAAGATATTTATTATCATAAAATACCTTTTATCAATAAATATTGCAATTGACACAAGTTCAAGTGTTAACAAGTACTTTATACTCATATCTAATGATTGAGTGCTCTTAACACTCCCGAATGATACACCCATATTTTATACAAGGATTGACTTATCAAACTGAAGTTTAAACATATTTATTGTAGCTCAATTTTGATGAAATTTTTAAAGCGGCCCTCAGCTTTTATTTTCTAATGGAGAATACGTTTAGTATATTTATATTGGAGAAGTGCAGCATATCTCGGTTTAGCCTTCTTCATAACAGCTTCCCGAGAGCTATTTATAACTCGTAAGTGACGTTCGTTTCTAAAAATAGAAGATCGCCCGCTTCACTAATTTAAATATACAGAGTGGACAGGTAGATAAGAGGATTGTTTATGTATTTTATCATCGGTAAATTTCATTTTCAACCTAAATTCTTTTTATTTGACAATTATATGAAACAATTTAGTGACCTTAAAAAAACTGAAGGCCACTTTAACTATATTTGAAGAACGTGTTGTCTTTCTGAAACATAATGGTGCTGGTGACATATGAGAAACATGGTCGTGACCTGAGTGGGACACTTACCCATAACCCCTGGTAGCAGAAACCTTGAAAACACGACCACCTCTCCGACACAGTAGACTTTCCAAGCCATATGATAGGAAGACGCATCAGTCTAGGTTTGAGCGGCAAAATTGATGTGTTTTTTTTTCTTAGCTATTTTAAATGACATCCGTAGGCCACCTCTCAAGCACATAAACCTTTCAGAACTATAAATCAGAGGGACTAAGACGTTTAGGATGAAGCAGGGAAATATATATATATATATATATTTGTTTTTTGTTTCTCCCAACCAGCATATTTTTGTTCTTATTTAGGCCACCTCTCCAACTCTTGAGCCTTTCACGGCTATGCAACATCGGGACACTGACGTTTTGGGTTTAAGTAGGGAAATTATTATGTTTTTCCTCTCCTACAGCATCTTGAGGCCACCTCTGAAATACCTTAGCCTTTATAAACCAAACACCAGAATAACACAGACGTCTACGTTTTAAGAGGTAAAATTATTGTGCTTTTTTTTTCTCTTAAATATTTTACAGCATTTTTATGCAATTTGTGACCATATTCATTAAGTTGAACTTCTTATGATCCGCTTACATGTATCACTAAATAATAACTTGCAGCAATCAATTTTGCTTCATTCAAATTGACCATTTTCTTGAACTGTTTGTTCTGCTTAGAAGTCCAGTAAAACAGATTAAAGGCCTATTTATGACGCATATTTATTACATGTATTTAAATACCGGTTTACGATAGAATTAATTAATAATTTTCGGACGATGTACATGCATTAAATCTCTTTTTCTTAAGACTTAGAAACAAAGATATGCACCATGAGCGTTCGTGATTTTCACCCTAGCTATGCATTTTTATAGAGAATTTATCAAGCTTAAGAGCTGAAAAGAAATATCACTTAACAATTGCTACAAAAGGATAATTGAACTAGGTTAGAAAGTACGAAAGACCGGTGGTGGCATTCAACTTCTTGAATTCTTGGGTTCATCTTCATGAATTCAAGACTTTAACTTCACGAATTCACAATTTGAACATCACCAGTTTACAATTTCAGCTTCATGAATTTACCTTCATGAATTCACGTTTTGAACTTCACAATTTTGAACTTCTTGAATTCACGGCTTCAACTTCGTGAATTCGCGACTTCAACTTCGTGAAGATGAAATCTTAAGTTCATGAAGATGAAATAGTGAATTTGTGATGTTAAAATCGTGAATTCGTAAATTCCGTATGTAGAAAACGTGAATTGACGAAGTTAAAATTGCCAATTCACGAAGATCAAATCGTGAATTTATGAAAATGAAATGTGCCCCAATGGTCTTTCGTAAGAAAGGGACCATCTTTGTGAATCACTGGGTTAATTCGTCTGTTGATAACGCTATTTCAACATTGACCGATCTTTCCATTTTTACGTTCATAAATCACCGAACATCACAAAATGTGAACTTATCTATTCACGAAATCACGAACGGTTGCTAGATTTAAAATTTCACACTAAAACCCCCTTTAAGTTAAACACGACGCTTCTATAATGTATTCAAAAGATTATACAAAAAGGCAATCAGTTCTATACCCTATGAATTACAAATTTCATCAAATTTGGCGCTGATAAATAATCCGTCGGTCAATTCATTACACGACTGGACATATTTGAATAATGCTGATAAGATAAGTAAAGTAAACATGAAAATTCATCAAAAAGATTGAATACAAACCCTGAATGAAAAATCTTATAGGGCGTTGTCTAGTTTTCCGTCAATCATCAAAGTTTATATTAAGCATTTAATAAATGTACGTTTTTTTTCCCTGAAACATATTAAAGAAAGTGAGTTGGAAACATTTATTAAATAAAAAATGATATTTTTGGGTCACAATTTTCATTTATTTAA